TCAGCAACAAGGCTGCTTTCACCTCTAATATACAGAGCTGCTCATGCTTCTGAGCCTTTGTGGAATCTTCTCTCCGCTTGAAATACCCTCTCACCATGTCTTCCTGGAAATATCTTATTTGACTTTTAAAAGCTGACACAGACATCACTTCATCTCCCCCTCGTGACTCTGATTTTAATTGCTAGGTTGTGGCCTGAGCTTTGGGAGTCTTAAGCACTCCCCAGGTGAAACTCACGTGCACCCCAGTTTGAGAATGACAGCTCTAGGCTAGAGGTTTTCAAACTCGAGCAAGCATCAGAATCAGCTGGAGGGCTTGTGGAAGCACAGGTTGCAAGGGTCCGCCCCTGGGGTCAGAATTCAGTGGTTCCAGGCCTGAGAATTTGCATTTCTAATCACTTCCCAGGTCATGCTCTTTCTACTGGTTCTGAGACTGTGTTTTGAGACTTGATGCTCTATTCAAACTTGCAACTGGCGCAGGTTCCCTGCATCGCCCGTATACTCGCACACCATAAATTGCACTTACATTGCAGTTCTCACACCGCGTGGTCACCCCAGTGTTCACGTTCTATTCTGTCATGAGGAGGCAAGGACAATAGCTTCCCTAGCTCCCCACTCAGCACTGTACCTGGGATGTTATAGATGCTCAATAAATGGTGAGTGAAGGAGTAAATATTCAGCACCTGGTTATCTCAGAGAAAGAGTCATATGCCAAACTCATGCCAGTCTTTTGGGAGCACTGGATCTCACAAATATTCCAAGCATCTGAATTTCAATCTAGAAGGCCATTTTCTTGGTTTCTATGAATGACATCTTGGATTTTGGTGATAGGATAAACTTGGCAAAGTACTCCTAATACGCTGGGATAAAAAGGCTTATGCAAAAGCAGATTATGTTACATTACATCAACAACACCTCTTTTTAAACTGACACTTAATGAGTATCTCTATCAATAAAGGCCTTTTAAGAGCTCACTGTAAAATGTTGCGAAAAATGAGAACATTTAAAATAGAGGCAAACAATAAGCCCATTCATACAGCGTCTTCACCTAATTTCTCTAGTATCATGAATCTCAAACAGGCTCACCCTCCTCCAGTGAAGTTGGCACGTGTTAGCCATATTGATTGTCTGATTACAAATTTACACTGTGGCAGTGAGGAACCCATTTGTCCCTGTGGCTTATATGTAGATCTCAGACTTGACACACACTCGGCTACAAAGCAATGGAACCAGATAGCAAAATGTTACTCCCAAGGAGATTAGACACTGATGAAGAACAATAAACTCATTGTTTCATATAACCTTAAAGAGTAAATCCAAAGAGATGTTTGAAAAAGGGTTTCCTAATCCTTGCTAATTTCTTAAATACCTCCTCTCAGAAGAATAAATTTGCCGTCTATTCATTGATCTGTAGAACATGAAAAAAAAAAATCCAACACAAAGTGTGTTGACATAACCCTTTCTAAACTCAAAACCCAGAGCTGATGATGTGGTCTCTTTTGTTTGGGTGTGTGCATATATGTTCGTGTGTGTTTGTGTCTGTTTATGTGTGTCTGTGTATCTTGCTTATTGAACATAAGATGATACCATTTGACATTTGAGTCGCATCCAGGTAACATTTTTCAATTAGTAATTTTTCAATTACTCAAAATAAGAAATATGTTCTTCTGAGTCCCTGGTCAGTCTCTCTCAATTGCAGTTCTCTGTCCCTGATCACCTCTAGTCATTGTCTATGATTCTAAAAATGTCAAAATTTCTGGATATCAACTTTCTGAATTAAGTATATCATGATTGACTTCCACTTCATTAGGTGGTCAACGGATTGAACATGATCAAGTCAGGAATGAAAGATAATGTAGACTGTTTCTGACTTTCTTTTCAAAACATAAAATTTGAAGGCCACCTGAGTGGTTCAGTTGGTTAAGCATCCATCTCTTGATCTCAGCTCAGGTCTTGATCTCAGGGTCATGTGTTCAAAAAAAATATTTTTTTAAATAAAACTTTTAAAAAGATAAGTTTGTCTAAAATTATGGGCTATGCATTCAGAGTTCAGAGTGACTATGTTTTGGATGTAAATCCATGGTGTAAGCAGGCAGAAACCGATTCAGGGGCTCCTTCTATTGATGTCTGTTCTTTATCTTTGGTTAGTTGATTGGCTGGTTGGTTGATTACTTGGTTTTCAAATTGGCACCCCTGCCTTCATTTTTCCTGTCTGTGTCTCACCAATCTGGAATGAGAGGACTTACACACCAGCAGGTACAAACGTACCCAACCCGACACTCATATCAGGAGTACAAATGGAAGCCTAGCTACCTTATGTCTAAACATTTAAAAGTTATAACTCAAGCAGAGAGACTGTTTAATGAAATAGATTATATCCCCTACATTAACAAGTATATCTCCCTAATGATAAAGTATTTTTAAATATGTAAAGCTATTGTCATTATAGAATTGAAGGCTTATAAAATAACAGGGATGACTGAACTTAATTAATATTGCACATGTCTGGGATATTCATTTGATGGGTTTTCAGAGTTTGAGTGGGTAAGTAAAAGCATACTTCATTAAAAAAATTATTACATATTTATTTCCTAAAATTCATTTTTACTTTCCTTTTGTGCGAAATTACTAATTAAATTACTTTTACCAAGATTTTTACTGAGTTTGAGTCTACTGATAATAATGATCTAAGGCATTAAAAATGGAAATGTAATCATGTCCAAAATACACAAAATGTGAATGTATTTTAATCAAAAATATAAAATAAAGCAAAGCTAAAACAGAAGAAATTATTTTTCTTGTGTTTTTTAAGTTTTTTTCTCAAACATCCAAATTATTTAAATTAAAAGAAAAATACGATTTATGATTAAGAACTATCAAGAACATAAATCACAATTATTAAATAAAACTTTATTTTCTAAAAAAGTCATTAAGTATCATTAAATGCTTTTATAAAACTTAAACTATTCAGAATTCTACCTTTAGTTACCAGTGTAAGGAACCAATATTTCGCTTCACACATACTTCATACAGGGAGAATTGAAGGTAAATAATGTGCTTTTATTTTCTTTAAATGCTGCTGTCACCCAAATGCTTTGATCCTTCCTACGCCATTTCTGACCCTCATGTCAGCGGCAGCCTAACCCACCAAGCTTCATGGCTGGGTGATGATGTTGTCTTTTCTTCCAAAGACAGGTCAGCTGGTTTGGGGCAGTCTTTCCCTGGAACCTGATGACTGTTAGCCTTGGGGTTGGTTGCTCTAGGATTTCAATCATGTTGTGGTGGTCCTGAGAACAGGATTCCAGGTCACAGAGGCCCCCACGTGCTTTCTAATAAATGTAGTTTTCCTGTATTTTTGACATGGAGGCCACTCTTAAGCCCAGAATTGATGTTTTTTTTTTTTAATTTTTTAAAAAACTTTCACTTAGCTAGTTATTATTCATTATTATTATTATTATTTTACTCTCATATACCTCTGCTTCATTCAGGCCTTTCAAGATTCTCACTGAGAATACTGTAGTAGACTGCCTACAGATGACTTGTCTTCTAGACTCAAACATTTCTTTGTGGTCATAAACATACTTCTCTGACACAGATGAGCAAGAATCCTGATTGTCTGACTACTTTTTCCTTATTTTAAACCTGAAGTCTGAGGCCACTTGTGAATAGGGGAGATAAAGCAAAGAAATAAAAGCTCACTCAAATGTGTGTGTGGCTAATATTCCTATTCCAAAATTCATCATGAAGAAACAGGAGCTAACGTGGCAGAACGGTAGTGTACTGATTCCAACTACTGACAGGTGAGCGGTAGTCAAGACAGAAGAATCGCTTCGTGATTAGTGCTTACCATTATTACATAACTGGGTTCAGCAGCAGAGCAGAAAGTAATAGCCAATATTAATAGAACATTCATTACCTGCCAAGTACTTTGCTAAAAGCTTTTTATGTATTATCTCAAGTGATCCCCACTACCCTGCCCCCCCCCCCATGGTCTCCAAGGTAGGTAATCTCATGAAGCTCCTTTTCAAGATTGAGGACCTGAGGCTTCAGAGGAGTTAAGGAGCTTGCCTAAGGTCACACAGTGTGGAAGCAATAGCAATGGGATTTAAACTTGGACTGTGCAACTCCAAAGCCTGTATACTGAAAGACTATTACACTTTGCTTGCCCATCGTGTCTTACTGGCCCTGGGCAGAGGGATGGGAGGGTCTGGGTCTAGGTGAGGCCAAGATGGAGATAACTGAACCAACTGTAAAAGTGTGCCCCAAGGAAGCAACCACCAATCCAGCATAACAAACCAAATCCCTTTGTGTTTTTTTGGGCTGCTGTCACTTCTAAGGAGTAATGGAAGTGGACTCAGGTGGAAGTCAAGGAGTTATGGAAGGGAGCTGCTAGGAGGACTTTGCAGCAGAGTATAGAATCTGGGGTGATATTCTCCATGGATTCGTTGGGCTGGTAGGACAGGACTCCAGCCTGAAGGAATCCAGAAATAAAAGTAATATTATGGGGTACTTACTACATGTTAGGACCGTCACATACCTCTGCTATGAAAGTAATATCCCTCCTACTTCCCAAATGAGAAATGAAGTTATACAGTTTGTCCAAAACTGAACAGTTATTTTTCCAAGAGATAGAAGGGAAGAAGAATCTAAATTAACTGGACTCCAGATTTTAAGGTCTTTCTATTACATATATCACGTTGCCTTTTTCACACTCCCCTGGACCCAACTAAAGGACTAAGCGGGAAAATAGGAGCACAAAGTCCCATCCTCATACTCAGCCCCTTACTCATGTTGAATGATGCCTGTAAAATGCCCTGCAGGTTGTGAGGAAAGGCCTTGGCTCAGGGCACATGTGTAGGTATGGCGGGATTGACAGCCAGGATTAATTAATTCCAGGAGTCCACCCAAGGGTGGGGCTCCCCTACTTGCAGTCTGGGTCAAGACTGACTCACAAACTGGGCTGGATTTGAGTTCCATAACAAAGACTTCAGTGATGGGGCAGTTAGGGACAACACATACTGAATGCTGTTCTATTGACAGGGACCATACTGGGACACTTAACCTACTTGTGCTTCCTAGTGAGATCATTATGGTTCTTTTTTCCAACCTGAAAAATCCTTGAAGCCCTTGAAGCCATGCCTAGTGATACCTGTGCATGATCCGACCTATACCTAACAAAAGGATTCAGGACTCAGAAGGTCCTTGGAGAAGATAATGACACTGCATTACCAAAATGCAAGGATATAAAAATAAATTCATTACTACAGGTAAGAACTCCTTTCTGGGGGAAAAAAAAAAACAGTTTGGGATTATGATGGATTTTTTTAAATTTGCATTTATTGTATGCAGAATTTACTCCCAGGCCATAAGTTTTTGTTTCTTCAGTTTCTCCTGGGATATCTTTTTCTTCTGTGCAACCTCCTCTTCTGGTTTAGGAACAATCTGCTCTTTTTCAGTACAAGTCATCTCGATGTGGCAGGGAGAGCTCATGTATGGGTTAATCCAGCCATGAGTCCTGTAGGTTCTATGTCACATCTTGGGGGCTTTGTTCACCTGGATGTGCTCAATGACTAGAGAATCTACATCTAAACCCTTAAGTTCAGCATTACTCTCTGCATTTTTAAGCAAGTGCAGTAAAAATTCAGTGCTCTTCTTGGGCCACCGACCCTGTGTCCAGCCCCACTGTTTGGCCTGCACACACCTACCAACTCCACCATTGTAGTGATGGAATGACACACACTGTTTCTGCAAAGTGACATCTTTCAGATACTTGGTTTCTTTTCAGATATGCATACCCTTGATGGCCTGGGCATTGAAACTGCATGTTCTTAAAGTCAACACGAAGATTTGAACCTCTTGACTTGCATGATTTTGTAGGGTTTTTCTGGGTCCAGCGAGTAGCAAACCATCTCTGGAGGTCACCTCAGGCTGCTTGGGGGAAGAGCAGATTTTTAATTAAAGAATGACCAGGAGGCACAGTGATGAACAGGATGCTTAGGGGGTATTATAAGGATAATTCTTCTGATGCATGAATAGAAAAAGTGCAGGAACTGGAATCTGTAAACAAAACTCCATGAAATGTTTGATTCAGCTCTGGAATTGCCTACAGTTTTCTGAGATATTCTCTTTTTGATCTCGGGTAATCTATTGCTCTGTGTTCTCTTTCATTTCAACATCAATTATCACCATCACAGCCAAAGTCATGAATACTCCCTGACTTACGCCTACACAGTCACGAGCTCCATAAAGGGAAGAGTGTGTGTGTGTGTGTATGCATGCATGTGTGTTTGTGTGTGTGTGTGTGTGTGTGTCTGTGGAGGGGGTAGTTATTGTTTCCTACTGGAGACTGACTAATTCAGTGGTTTATAGAAAGAAAAGCTCTGTACATTTTGGCCTAGAGGACCTACAATTCAAATCTCAGTCACCTGCTGTTCAATTTCAAACAACAGTGGTAGAGCACCTACTGTGTGTAAGGCACTTCAGAAAGCATGAAAATGAAAGAATCCCTGTGACCAGGAAGCTCAAGAAATAGTGTCAAAGATAGAGATAAACAAGAAGCCATTGAGGCAACCAATAAAATAAGCTGTAGGACACAGGTTCAAAGGTTGCACTGTAAACAGAGAAAGGAACTGCTGCTGGGAGGAGGGAGTGTTATCAACCTTGTAGGGAAGGAAGAAGTTCATTTCAGAATGAAAGTAGAATGCCTCAGCAAAGGAGTAGAAAACATTTTTAGGTAGAGAAGGAAGAGGTGAACTAAGAAAGGGTGGTGTCAGGACAGCCAATAGTGTGCTGAAAAATGTCACTACCTACATATTGTCTCTTGACTCTACTTTTTTCAGCCATTTGTCTAATTCTCCCCCGCCCACCCCAGCATGGCCAGAGTTCTCAGTGCTATGTTTTGTTCTTGGCAAACTGAGAACTTAGCCCCTTTAGGTTTATTGAAGGATGTGTTCATCTCTGTCTTCTCCCCCTCAGCTAAAACCGATTTCATGAGACCTCCGAGGCTCAAGGTTTATCCATCTCTGGTATGCGTGGGATCCCAAATAATAACCATGCTGTTGGTGGAAATATTGCTATGTGCCAGGCACTGCTTAAGTGCTTCCTAAGGCAGGCCTATGTGGACCCAGACTTGAAAGTGGGCTTCAATTATCCCCACCTCTTGGCATTCTCACCCATATGAATTCCCCTTTGCATATAAGCCATTCTGAGCCTACTCCAGCACCACTGGGGTTAACTAGACATTAACGTATACTTAAGTCCCAGTGTGTATTGCAAAACTATAGACAGTTTCGAAGTGAAGAAAACACTAAAGGCTGAAAGCAGTGGTTCCCATTCTTGACCACACATTGGAATAACTTGTAAGCTTTAAAAAATACCCACGCCTGGGTGTAAATATTTGGATTTGGTCAGAGGTGAGGAGTGAACATTGCTTTTTATTTGGTTGGTTGGTTGGTTTTGTTTTTCACCTCATCAGCAGATTGGAACTAGATGGTCTGCTCGAAGGCCTCTAGGTTTCCAAAGGAAGAGGATCCCAGAAAAAGATCCTTATTCACCATGAGGGCTGATGTGGCACTACCTAATCAGCAACCTGGAGAGTTGTGAACCACCTGGCAAGCCAAGTGGGAGTTCAGAGTCCTTACCTGTCAGACTCATGCAGATTTTGCTTTTAAAAAAGTTAACGAGGTATGTCCAGGCCTCTGGCAGGTCAGTGCTCCTCAAAGTTTCATGCCCATGTAAATCACTGGAGAATATTAATACAATTCAGGCTCTGATTTAGGGGTCTGGTGTGGGGCGGAGGACCTGCATTTCCAGGTAGTTTCCAGGTGGTTTTGATGCTGCTGGCCCTTGAATTACACTTGAGTAACAAGGCTGGGGCTTACAAAGCAGCATTTACCCTAGAATTGCTGTACAAGCAAAATACCTTGTTTAACTTGATATGGGTGCCCACATTGGACTGGGAATTTGGGCCTATTTTTACAACAGAAGTCTGCCCCTTGCTTTGAGCCTGGTCACCCATCTTTTTACAAAAGAATTTATTTATTTATTTGAGAGAGAGAACACAAGCAGGAGGAGTGTCAGAGGGAGGAGAAACAGACTCCCCAGTGACAGGTCTCATGTGGGGCTTGATCCCAGAATCCCAGGATCATGACCTGAGATGAAGGCAGATGCTTAACAGACTGAGACAGGCACATGGAGCCTGGTCACCCTTTAAGATAAATCCTCTTTTCTGTTTTCTAACTCCAATTTGTTTATGACTCCTGCTCATTTGTCTTATTTTTTAAAAAAGATTTTTTTTTGTTTGAGAGAGAAAAAATGAGAGAGAGAGAGAGACAGAGACAGAGAGAGATAGAGACAGAGAGAGACAGAGAGAGAGAATGAGCAGAGGGAGGGGCAGAGGGAGAAGCAGGCTCCCTGCTGAGCAGAGGACCCTGAGATCACAATCTGAGCTGAAAGCAGACACTTAACTGACTGAACCCCCCAGGCACCCCTCAGTTGTCTTATGGTTGATCATCTAAGTTGATCTTAGTCTGGCTGGGAATTCTTACCTGGATAAGTAGACCTATGTCCAGGAGACCATTAACCACCATTATTGAACTCCCAGTTACATGGAACACAATTTATATATATCATCTCTTATCCTAGATTAACTACAAATATAGATGTTATTATTTCCACTTCTCAGTGAGGGAGTGAGGTTCAATGAGGGATACAGAGTTAGCCCAAACCACAAAGCTCATGGCAGGACCAAGACAGAATCCAAGATTATCTCTCCCACTCCCATTGTTTCCACTCTAGTTCCCCTGGCTGCTGCCCTCCCAGGACTAGCACAACAAACCAGGAGTCTGCTGGCCCAGATCCCAGACCTCAATCCAAGATTGGATTTCTATTCTAGGGGCCTTTAACTTAAACTACACACTTCCCAGTCAGAAAGAGCAAACAGGGTGGTTTCAAAGATACGATGCAAAGTAATGCATTTATTTACTGAATTGAAAAAGAATTTGGACAGTCTTTTCTAAACCAATCTCTCAAATGAATTCTGCAAATATTTATTGAACATGTACCATGATGAACAAGGCAGTGCCAGGTAAATGGTGATAGGAAGAAGAAAGGAGTGGAAGGAAATAGATTCAAATACAAATCTAGTTGGGCATATTGGACTATAGATACTACCGTAGGAGTGTGAGAGTATGAGTCCAACAGGAAAAGGAGTTAATTTTACCAGGAGGCCAGAAGGATATTGTCTTAGGTATTTATTAGCCTTTAGGAATTTTATAATCTCTGCCTTTTTGCCAACACTAAATAATAGCTAGTGATTTTGGCAAGTGTGTATTGAACACTCATTATGTGCCAGGCATGTCAATCACTTTACCTAGCTCATTTTATCCTCATAATGACAGCAGGAGGCAGGTGCTATTATTATCCTCACCTCAAGGGTGAGAAATTGGGGAATTGGTGATGTGAAAGGATCTTGACTAAGTCCCACAGCCCGTAATTGGCAGGGCTAGATTTGAAACTCAAGTCTGATCAAAGAGTCCACTTCTTGATCTCCACATTTGAGAAACTGAAGCTTGGTAGGGAGCAGAATAGAAGAGTAAAATGAGAACTATGCACTTGATGAGCAGCAACTACCTATTAGCTGTGTGTGGCCAGAACACACCATGTCTCAGTTAGAAGCATACCTCAGATGATAGATCCTGGAGTCCAAGGTGGATATAATGGGTGATACTGGGGAGACCATACATCCTGACCCACCCAAGGCTGTTGGGATATGCCTACTGTCCTCACAGGAGACTCCAATAGGCTATTTGGCTTGGTCAATAAATTCTGTGGTCACCCAGGCAATACTACCATGTAGTGCTATAGCACATGTTTCCATCTAGGGGGGAAAAATCCATCCTGAGAGTGAGGGGAAAAAATCAATGGTTTAGTAATTTAGCCTTTTATCTGTCTCTTCATTCAATTTTCACTCACTAAACAATGCATTCTCCTGTGTTTGCCATTATTCTATTTTGTCCTCAGTGGTTCTGGAATTTGTGTATCAGCACCTGGTATCAGCACTGTGGAGACACGGAGCCAATCTGAGTTCACTACAAAGCAGTACAGAGAGTGACCCAAAGAATCTCCTGACAACCAGGTATCATCACAATGCTGGCTGTTGCTGTTGGGTGTGGACTCCCCCTTCAAACCTATTGGCAGCCACAGGAGTGACAAGGAAGTGTGAGACAACAGGATTTAAAGTCACCAGCACTTAAAAGAAGCAACCTAAGTGTCTGTGGATGGATGAATAGATAAAGAAAATGTTATATATAGCACATATATATATATATATATATATGAATATTATTCAGCCATAGAAAGAAGGAAGTCCTGTCATTTGCAACAACACAGATGAAACAAAAGGGCATTATGCTAAATGAAATAAGTCAGACAGAGAGAAAGACAAATACTATATGATCTCACTATTTAAATATGGAGTCTTAAAAAAAAGTCAAACTCCTAACAAACAGGAGAATGTTGGTCACCAAGGGCTGGCACATGGGGGGAATGGGAAGATATTGATCAAAAGGCACAAACTTCCAGTTATAAGATGAATAAGTTCTGGGTATCTAAGGTACACATGGTGATTACAGTTAATAATACTGTATTATATCCTGGAAAATTGCTAAGGAAATAGATGTTATGCATTCTTACCAGAAAAAAAAGTAACTATGTAAGGTGATGAATATGGTAATTAACTTGATTATGGCAATATTTTCACCATGTATACTTACAGCAAATCATCATGTTGTACATTTAAATATACACAGTTGTATCTTTCAATTATACCTCAACAAAGCTAGGGAAAATACATAATAAAATAAAATAATCAACACCAAACATTCAAGATTTTTATGGCAGATTATCTTCAAGAGAATAAGTGCTCTGTGAAGTGTAGGACTGTGCTGGAAAATGAGGGGATCCTGCTTTAAAAGACTCTGATACTTGGGAAGAGAGGAAGAGAGGGAGGGCTTGGCTCCTTGTCCCAGCTGTGGGGTCTCTGGAGAGCTCCACACGGCGACTCTTCTTGCCTGTAAAATGTGGAAGTTGGGCAGAGACACAAGACAGGCAGGCAGGAAAAGCTACCGCAAGCTCCATTGTATTTCTTTTCCAGGGAATTTCAGAGGTTGATGGAAGTTTCCCTAAGGATTTCACTTCAAGCTAACAATGGAGAATAAAAAAGAATTTAAGAGGAGAGCATAAATCCAGCAGAGACAACGACACACAGATCTCGCCCTCCACAGTTTTCAAAGCACCTTCCTGCACGCAAGTCTGTATGTGAAGCTGAGCCAAAGGAGCAAAGATGGTGGTGTCAGTGGACTTGGGTTTGGACCCTTGCTTTTCTGTCCACTGATGTTAGCCATCAAGCTTCAGTTTCATCTGTGTTGTTGCAAGGAAGGAAGGCAGAGAAGAAGAAGGAAGGAAGGAGAAAAAGAAGGAAGGAAAGAGAAAGAGAGAAAGAAAAAAAGAGAGAGAGAGAAGTCTCTTCACAGGATTCTGCTGTGTGTAGAGTGAGGTAATGCAGGTAAAATACCTACTACATGGCAGGTACTTGATGAACGGTAGCGATCCCCATCATTCATAAACTTCACCCCTGGAAGACTTTGTACAAGTGTTTGTTGAAGCACCAGCTCCATTTTGCAGATGAGAACACTGAGACTCAGGGAGGTCAAGTGGCTTGCCCAAGGTCACAGCTAGAAGGAGGACAGTTTTCCAGCTCCAAGTCCTGAGCTCCGTGCAATACTTTCCTATACAACCATTGGGATTGGAGTTGTATTTCCATGCAAGTCGGACACCAAATAAGGAAAGATACTCGGAGGGGTCCTTCCTTTGAAATCAATCAGCCTTTGATCTTAACAAAAAAAGCCATACAATTTTCAAATAGAAAGCCTTTGCAAAATGCTCTTTCCTTGGAAGCCATTGTTCGACCTCGTACTTCTATAAAATAATTGCTTTATGCCTTAAGACTGTTGATTTGTGTGAATTCAGACATTTTGTAAGTAGGTGATGTTTCTGAAGTTATTATCAGTCACTGTGTCTTCCATAGCTGGATGAAAGAGTCGTATCACAGTCCCGTGGCTTTTCTAAAATGCACCATGTGTTATCTTTGACAGCAGCGGAGCATGCCAGACAGGAGGACACTGGTTGACCACTTCTGAATTCCTTCACCTATGCTAAAAACAGACAGAGATATGGTTGAAGGAATCTGGCCCCAGCACCTAAGAATTGTTGCTACATCAACTACTATAACATGGAGAAGTTGAATTTGGTGGTCTTTATGGTTTCTTTTAGCACAGAAATACCCTACCATTTTATTTTACCCCTTGTCTGCCCCACGCCAGTTTTGTAACGTGTTGACCTCTCAAACGTTTGGCTGGATCTGGGCTTCCTACACCAGTGCTTCCCACTGGAAAAATAAAGTTGAGGTGAGCCAAGACCTAGTCTGTCCAAAATATGTAGCCCCAAGTATCCTGCACTTTGTGTAAGATGATAACGTGGCTACTGCAGGGACAGGGTTTTTGTTTACATGTAAAGCTTAAAATCCAAAACTCATAGGTACCATGTTTTTAAAGACATAAGTCGCCAAAGTCATTCATCTTGCCATCCATCTGCCCCTCCATTTAATCATCTATTTATTTGTTTACTCTTCAGATATTTATTGGCTACCTCCTATGTTCCAGGCACAATGTTAGATGGGGTGCTACCATTGAAATTTAGATCTTGCTCTTACAGAAGATATAGTACAAAAGATGGACAAGGAAACCAAATAATTTCACAAATAATTATGAGGATAAGTGCCAGGAGTGAGCATGTAGGGTTTCCTAAGAGAGGAAGTTTAGCTGAGTGGTTGAGAATGATGGGCTCTGGAATCCAACAAGGAGGCTCAAGTCTTGTTCTTCCCTGTACCAGCCCTGCGATAGCGGGCCAATTGTTTAATCGCTCATGCCTCAGTCTTCCCAGTTATGCCATGGAACTATAGGAGTAATTCCCTCCAAAGGTTGTTGTCAGGATTAATGAGATAGCACATGTAAAGCATTTGCAACAGTATGTGGAACTAGCAAGTGTTCAACCTGGGGCAGGGGCCACCCATGGCCCGTGCTATCTGGGGGACCTAAGAAAAGTATAAGCAGTGACATGAAAAATAAATAAGAGAGGGTGACAAGAGGTTAGATGGGAGAGAAGGAATGGGAGAGTGGGATGAGCCAAGGAAATGCAGTAAAAAGGTGAAGATCCTGAAACAGAAGGAGCCTGGGCATAGGACCTTGGAAATAAGACAGTAGGTATGGTGGAAAAGTATGGAAAGTGGTGGAGGAGAAAGGAAAGCCAGACAGGAGTGCTGGAGATGAGCCTAGGAAACCAGAGACCCAGACCCTGTAGATCACATTTTAGGCCAGTTAGTTAAGGATTTTGGACCCCCCTAGGAGCATCCAATCACTTGACCCACCATCTGTCCAACTGGAAATCCCTAAACAGAAACCCAAACATTCCTTTCTTATCTTTGGAGGAACATATGCTAATTGATAAGGAGTCAGCTGGGAAACCAGCGGTGAAATATCTTGGATTACTCTGTAAATGATGTCCTTTCACACGTCTCTGTCTGTATTTTTATTCTCTGTCCCTGGAGGCCATCGTTGCTGTCCTCGAATATCAAAGTAGACTTGAAGAATTGCATTTCATTGTCAAATGATTGCATCCAGATAATTATATTATGGCTTTTAGGGACACATGATCAATTTTTATAATACATCAAGAAGAGTCTTGAAGAAACTAACGTTTAATCCTTGTTCAGTTCTTTTTTCTCTGCTCTATCTTTTGCTTAGGGCTATAAAAATATGCTGTATTCCTGATTTATATATTTCAGTGTTTTTTCTTTCTCTGCATTAGCTTTAAAATTAGCTTTTAATAACCCCCAAAAAACATTACTGTTTTTCAACAGTAGTAGTTTAGAAACAAACCACTAAAATAAACTACTAATCTTCGACTCTTTCAGTCCTGGGTTTGAATTCAGGCTCTGTTGTTACATTAGGCAAGTTACTAATATCTCTGAGACTCAGTTTCCCAAATTATAAAATAACTTCGTAAATTATTTATATTTCATTGTTGCGAGGACTATATTAAATGGTTATGAATATATCTAAGTCTAGTGACTAATAAAAAGAAGGAAGGAAGGAAAGGGAAGGAAGAGAGGAAAATAGAAAGAGAAGAACAGAGGGAGAGGGGAGAAGAAGAAAGGAAATAAAGAGAAAAAGAGAAAGAGAAATAAAAAGGAAGGAAGGAGGGAAGGAAGGGAGAAAGGAAGAAGGAAAGAAGAAGGAGAAAAAGAAGGAAGGAAAGAGAATGAGTAAAAGAAGGAAAGAAAGAGAAAGAGAAAAAGAAGGAAGGAAAGAGAAAGAGAAAAGAAGGAAAGAAGAAGAAAGAAAGAAAGAAAGAAAGAAGAAAGAAAGAAAGAAAGAAAGAAAGAAAGAAAGAAAGCATACTCAGTGGTTGAGCATCTACCTTTGGCTCAGGGCATGATCCTGGGGTTCTGGGATTGAGTCCCACATCGGGCTCCTTGCAGGGAGCCTGCTTCTCTCTCTCTATCTATATATGTGTGTGTGTGTCTCTCATGAATAAATAAATAAAATCTTTAAAAAAGAAAAGAAAGAGAAAAGACCTCCGTAGAGAGGAATTAACCACATAGGTGACAAAAGACATGGCACCATGAGTAAAGTGATGTGTTCTAGAATCATTTAGAATCTGAAATTATGGAGAAAGATATATTTAAAAGTTTTTTTGTGGTTAAATTTTCCTTAAATGTACTTTGATATTTTTCTGGGACAGGTACTATAAACCATCAACCCCTACTCTTCTGAAAGGTTGAAGAAAAACTTCAACTCTTCTCCTGATTGAAAAGTAGTGACTTCAAAAAGTCATCTTTTGGGAGTTATCTAAAACTCCTCTGATGCATTTTTGTGATACCATCAGCCAAGTCTCTTCCTTATATTTGTTGTCTTCTAGAAATAAAATCAGATTGTGATGCGGGCTGTGTAGCACATGATGCCAAAGGAAGTGTTTATGCAGAGTATTAAGTGGAAGAGGGAAAATTGAGCCAGTTTAGATGCCAGTCATTAGTTCGTTCATTCATTCATTCATTCATTCATTCATTCATTCACCAAGGTTACTGGTCATTATCCCAGAAAAATCACTTTGAAAGGATTACATTGCCTCTGACCAAAGATTGTAATGCTGATTAGATTAGGTTTTGTTAGTAGCCCTGGTAATCCAATAAATTATTCTGCAGTGTAGGTTCAAATCCTGTATTTTCAGGAATTTGACATTCAAAGGTAATGACTTTAGTTGACTGAGGTTGTTCTTTGGAAATGATGGCATTGCTTCTAGGTTTCTGAGTTTGCTGCTTAAAATTCATGCACAGGATTGGTTGAACTCAAGAAAGTTCACATTAGATAAATGAAAGCCACTGGGTCCTCTGTTGCTGCAGAGGAAGGAATGCTAAGATCAGGTGTTACCTGACAAACACAACAACAAGGGACAAGCAATCACTCCATGGTTGTGGCAGGGGGTCTGACCTTGCAGAATTTCAACAGCCAGAAGCAGATTGTCCCCAACTCAGCATGGAGGAGTCTCAAGACCTCCTACATTTCTCCTTTTTGTTCCATGGCTGGGACAACATGGATGGGATAAAAGTGTTATGTGTTATGTATGGTCCCATAAAAACTTCCACACTCCTTTTGATGATCTGGAACAGTGAAGAATGGATGTGTTTGAATGTCTCTTTTTGCTTTGTGCTTTCGTACTTTACAGGACCCCGAAGAAGCAGGATTTAACAAGGTTTAATAGAGTGGAGAATCTTTCTTGATCCTTCCATTGGAGTGGGACACCAAAATAGCAACTATATCATGCATTTGGGAATAAAAGTACAAATAAATCTTGGTCTCCTCTCTTAAGGAGACTAGCGGGGGAAGACAATCAACATAGTACATATGACTGAGTGCCAAAAAAAAATATTATTGTGTGTAGGAGGGTAAAGGGGTAAGTACAGGTGCCAAGTGATCCAAAGAAAGGAGCCATTGATTCTACCTGGGGAAGGGGTAGGAGGTCAGAAAGAAATAAGATATCTGTTATGGACTTTCCATAAAATAAATGGACTGTATAAAACCTTCAGTATTCTCACTCCTGGTTAGGGGAGAGGGGGCAGTTGCAAGGCACAGTAAGAAGGCCCAGGGCATTCTTAGAAATTTTGCCACAAGAAAGGTGAGTGGCCTTTTATATATTCCACCAAGGAAATTGTTCCCATGCTGGGCTCATCTGTGAACCCAATGCACCTCTGGAGAAGATGGGAGTTTCAGAGCTGGCCGTGGAGTAGAGAGAACAAGAAGCCAGACACCTGATTGGAGGGACCTTCCCAAAGACTTTTCAGTCTCTAGGGCAGTGTTTATTGAAGCCACTTGCCAATGCTCTGGAATTCTATTTCCTTTCCGTTTCAAAGCCTTTCTCTCACATCCTCTCAGCCCAGCAATAGCTGGGCCATCCTTTAATAAACAGATATATTTTTTTTGAAGCTGTCAATATTTCAGATAACATTTGGCTAAGAGAACAGGGAAAGAGCTATAGTTAGAGAATGAAGAGAACCTATGCGGATCTCTGTGCTTATTGAGTAGAATTGGGATGTATATGATGTGGCTTGTTCTGGGAGCAAAGCCTATCCACCAGTCACATACAGGAGACGCCAGTTCTGCAGCCAGAGGAGAAAGAGCAACACGAAATTTGTCAACGACATTTTTAGACCCCAAATGACATTAGCATAAAAGCAAGTACGCTTTAGTTTTAAGCTTAGAGGGGATTTTTTTTTGAGGCATCACTTGAAAGTATATGAAGAGCCAGCAAGATTTTTTTTTTAATGGCCTATAAATTGAATATTGGAAGACAGACCAGGGAGGAATATGGGTGCTTGAAACCCCTTTCCAATAATGTCAGAATTTTTAAGAGGGCCTGAATTCAACCATGGGTGCCAATCAAAGTTTGGATGTCTGCGATCACTTATATAATATTTAATATGGATGACCCTCAACTATTCTTACTTAAACTCATCAGTCTGAAATGTGGGACTATTTGTGCTTTCCATTTAAAATCTTTGCAAGGGTTACATTGCCTATCTCAGGGGATTTTTTGGTAGTCTTATTGAAAAGGAACACATCTGTGCATGAATGCGACTTCAATGATAATACCAAGGGCTACTCAGGGCTCACAAGATGCCCTCTGTAACA